ACCGGGGGGGGGGGGTTTGCGTCAGTTGACTGGTGGCGAAAACCACCTTGGGCATGGTTTGGCAGCTGTCGGGTGGTCGCCATCGCAAAGCATGCCGGGGTGGCACTCGCGGTTGTTAGGTGATAGTGAATCCCCACACACTCAACATTTCTGTGTGTCAGGAGGCTGTGGGCACACATTCTCGCGGTGTCTTGTTTTGTTGCACTTTATTAGGCGGGGAATAGTTCGTTTGTAGAGGTAGCAACGAAGAACCTGTGCATACGCGTTGACGAAGAAAGGAACCCGCTTGCTACAAATTGGGAGCACCATTGCTTCGGAGTCGCCGAGGCGTCTGCACGTAAGGACCTCGTAGTCCAGTACTTCACTTTTGTCAGGAAATCGTCTGGTGTGATTTCGTGGCCTATTCCATTGACCACACCTTTGCACGAATTATCAGGCGCAATTCTACAAGAGGTGATGTTGTAGGTTGCTGCGTACACTATACTTTTGGTGATTTGTCCAAGTACAGTGGCGATGTGTTCATGAGGTGCTTATTGTTAGCACATTTTGATTTTTGTCAAAACGAAGTTTGATATAAGGCTTCTAACTGCATATATTTGCTGCATGATCTACGGCGATTAGTAACGTCTAGGGGCTAACCTTGCTCAGTTTTTATCCACCATGGGGACAAATTGCAAGCTTGTAGTCTTCGGCACGAAGCGGTGGGAGTCTTGGTAGACGCGTCTTAGGCCGGCCTCTGGCGTAGAGCGGGCTCAGATGGCGTGCTTGGCAGCTGTTGAGTCGGTACGGTATGGAGTTGCAGCTGTCAGCGTTTGTTCGCTCTCTTGGTAATAGTGATCCATGGATGTGCGTTGTGCTCATTGCTAGCGTGCGTATCGGCGTCTTGGTTGGTCTGCCTATGCATCATGTGATCCGTGGAGCAAGAGGGCAATGAGTGCTCCTCATCAGCTGCGATGCTCGCAGAGACGCTCGCCATCCGCTGTAGAGCGGGGCGGCGTTCTGTCCAAGCCGCGTCCCCGGTTTGTTTGGGTTAGCGCGAAGGACCTCACCTAAAAACTTTTGATAGCGTTAAGAGGTTTAAAAACACACTCACAGGTGGCAGTCCAGTATAGGCTTGACAGTGGTGATGCTAGGAACAAGTTCCCATCATTGCAACTGGTCGCCAGAAAGACATTTTTCTTTAAAATGGACCTGAGCCGAAGCCGATGTGATTCGCGTCCGTAGGACTCGCTCACCAGGTGGCGACCACATGCCAAGAACCACATCCAAAACCAGCCCAACAACCCTGGGACTGATGTCCAAAAAGAACAGAGCCGTTAGTGCGGAGAGACCAGAATCGCCACCTGCAGCCAAGAAGGCAGCGCCAGCTGGACAGATGGCTCTGGCTAAAGTGAGTTGGGCAGCGGGACCTCCCAGCCTGAAATTTCCTTTACCTGATTCCTCCTATTCATCCTCATCACACAGCCAGCCCAACATACCTCTCACCTTTAACGCTCATAACTTCAGTAAACCAGAGCTGCAAGATGCCCTCCCAACACTACGGGACTCGCTCAAGCCTGAAGTAATCAACATGATCACTCAGGCAATTAATGATTTTTGTGCATACCTTAGAAATATGATAAAGACCCACATCCAGGCACTTGTGATAGAGCTAAAGCAGTACATACAAGAAAGCTACACGTAATTTATTACAGGGCCCCAAGACTCAATGCCAATAGCTTCAAACACCAAAAGTCTCACCAAGTGACCCCACCCTTACATCCGCCCATCACTCTTAACTCAGGACACAGACCAAAAAGAGCAAAATGGGCTCCCCTAGTGTTTGCCTTCACCATGTGGCAGTGGAACTGCAGGTGGTTTTGACGAAAGAGGAGCTCCCTTCAACGCTACATGGCCACAGTCGCGCACCCTCCGTATAGTGTGATTTTGCAGAAGATGCACTGCGCCCCTACCTTCTCGGGCTTTCATACATACACAGATAAACAAACACCCTCACTTGCCGGAAGATTTTTTATTTATTCATACTCCTGTCTTGGCCCAAGGGCCAAGACAGGAGTATGAATAAATAAAAATCTCTGGCATGTACAATAAATAAATATATCTGGCATGTACAAAGAACATATGTGGACACACGTTTCACGCTGTACGCTCAAGACGCACACTGTATAGAAATAACAAAACAAAAACGCAAAACTATATCAGAATACACCTCGCATAGGTCACGGATAAAAGAAACATGTTCGAATGCATCTCGTACACGTCACCAAAACGAGAAAAAAGATTTGAAGTGATATAGTACATGTTGAACATATTGATATAGTACATTGAACATTTTCAAACAACAAAGAACAAGCAATTCGGTTACAAATATTTCGACAAAGCCTTTTCGAACCTTTGTAAATCGCAATTTTTGACCATGTATTGAGGTAATTGATTCCAGCCATCGATTCTCCGAACCAAAAAAGAATACTTGAATAAATCTGTTCTGTAGCTAAGTGGTGTGATATGTATTGAGTGTTTTGTTCTGGATGTGGTAAATGGCTGTAGTGCGATGAGTTCCCTTTGGTGAAACTTGTAGTCTCCATTGATTATGTGAAAAAAAAATGTCAGTCAATTATGTTGCATTTTTCGTTTCACCGTCATTAAACCGGCTCTGTCTCTGGGCTCACTAATAGACAGAGTTCTGAAATAGGAGTTGAAAATGAATCGTAAGGCTTTGTTTTGTATATGCTCACCTTTTAGTACATTTGTTTCGGTGTATGGTTTTCAGAAATGACTTGCGTAGGTCACTACTGGAAAAATAGTCACTTTATATGCCATTGTTTTAGCTTCCGGGATGGCATTGTGAAGTGTTTGTCGTAACGACCAAAGTTTACGCATGGCTTTATTGCAAACACTGTCAACATGCATGGACCAGTTCATGTCATGTGCAAGATACTTATCATGTGCAATACTTATGTGCAATACTCATGACCAATACTCATGACCAATGCCAATACATCATGCGCAATACTTATAAACACCTTGATACTTATCATTCTTTACTTCAGTCAGCACTGTGCCTTTGATGCTGTAAAAAAGGATAACGGCTCTTTTTTACGTGTCATGCACATGAAGACAGTTTTTGATGCATTCAGTTGCGTTTGCCATTCCTCGCACCAAAGACTATTTTTTTTGTAAATGGTTATCAAGCTCCAGCTGATTGTTAGTGGAACTTATCTTCGCATACACAATGGTGTCATCTGCATAATGTTTTATAGGTATTTGCTGAGAAAACTTGGCACCTATGTCACTGATATAGATAGAGAAAAGAAAAGGGCCTATTATGGACCCTTGCAGCACGCCTAATTTGACTGATTTATTGGTGCTGGAGACATTATTTAATTCAACAAGTTGTTGTCTATTTTACAAATATGCCTCTATTCATTTTAATAGCTGACTGTCACCAATCACACAAGGCAACTTTTTAAGCAACTTTCTGTGAGATTATTTATCAAATTCTTTTCGGAAATCAATAAATATAATGTCTACTTCTCCTTTTTCATTTAAACACTGACCAATTTCATGCGTAACCTCAGTAATATTTGAAATTGTGGAATACCCTTTGCGCAACCCGTGCTGATTATTACCTAAAATACCATTTTCTTCTATAAACTTCATTACGTGAGTAGTAAAAATGTGCTCCAGTGTTTTACAACAAGTACTTGTCAAGGAAATTGGTTGTAAACTCGTGACGTCATATTTGGAACCCTGTTTATGGATCGGTATTACATTGACACACCTCCAATCTATCGGAAAGTCACCGAATTGATGTGATTTTGTGAAAATGTCCAAAAGAAAAAAAAATGAACACCACTCGTCATAACGCCTTAAAAAGGCGTTGGGAATTTTATCAGGTCCTGGGCATTTTTTCACATCTACTTTAAGTAAGAGACCTAGAATTCCTTCTTGTGTTATAGGTAGCTCAGGTAGACATTGCTCATCAGACGTTCGCACTTGAGGAGTTGAACCATCGTCCCTAATGAAAACCGATTCAATATAATCATTAAATTGGCGAGCAATATTTTAATTATCCGTGGTAGGTACATTATCGTTCTTCAAAAATTGGATGCCAAGTTTGGTCCTGAAAGGTACCTCCAAAACTTTTCCGGTGATGTTTTAATGAACTTGGTAAGAGTTTCATTCATGTACCTGTCTTTCGCTTGAATAATTTCTATTTTGAGTTCCTGAGAAAGGGAAGTGACGTAATGACGGTTTTTTGTTGAAAATGGTTCTTTAGCCCTCGTTCTTTTTAAGAGTCGTTTTTTTCTGAATTATCTTTCGCGTAATCCATGGGTTTCTTCTGTTAACTTTCTTGGTGCGTTTTGGAACAAATGGTTCATTGCTTTCAAAACAATGCATTTGAACATATTTCATGCATCATTTACTGATGTAGTATTCAGAGATATATATTGAGTGAAAGCACCATATTCCTGTTCTAAATTGTCTATTGCTCCGGTATCATCTGCTTTAGAAAAATGAAGAACTGTCATTGTTTCATTCTTTTTTACCGAGTGCGCGTGGTGTCTATATGCGTGATCACCAATTTGTGATCAGATATCCCTTCTAATACTTCACATTGATATTTGGATTGCGCGGCAGAACTGCTCAAGGAGACAAAGTGGATCAGTGATTCTCCTGATTCGTGGATTCGCGTAGCTGTAGTCACAATTTGTGTTAGGTCAAGAAAGAAAGCAAGATCCAAAAGAACTCGAGACACAGCTTGCTCATTTTGACCTTCCTGATAATTCACCCAATCGATATGCGTTAAATTGAAGACTCCGCCCAGTATGATCTTATAATTAGAATGGCTAAACTTATCAGTTAAGAACTCATTAAGAAGTATCATTAATCATTCAGGGGTACCAGGTGGGGATACACTGCTATAACTACAAAGTACTGCCCATACATTTTGATTGTGCACGCAATGCATTCTAATTCCGGTGGGGCGAAAATTTCAGTGCAATGAATTGAAGTTTTGGGAACAATAGCAACACCTCCTCCCCTGGATCCTTGGTCTTTGCGGCAGGCACTGCAATTGGAAGGTAGGAACTCTGTATTTTCAACTGATTCGCTTAACGAGGTTTCTGTCATGATTTTACATCCGGTTCATGTTCAAAGAGCGCAGCCTCAAAGAGTGATGATTTGTTACAGATACTGCGTGCATTAACAACAATATTTGTTAACTTGTCAGGAAAATTTTCCACTGCCGTCCAAGCTGGTGTCTTTCTCGTAATGGCGAGCATTTCGGCACTCTTTACGCGAGTCAGTAGAATCGTCTCAGTAATACTCCTTGCCATCTACGTAGAGCTTACCGTAAGCTAGGCACACCCCTTTTCCACTCAACTTCTCGTCTTCAGCGCTTTCTCAAAGGCACTTTCTGCTGTGTAGCACGCGTTTTGAAAAGTCATTACTGATTGAGGACGTGCAAACCCTTTAGCTTGTAACAGTTGCGCATAATTTCCTGCTTTTCCTTTAAGTCGTATAGTCGGAGAATAACCGGTCGAGCTTTTGACTGTCTTTTTCCAATGCGGTGTATACGCTCCACGCTTTTAGGCGATAAACTGATTACAGGAAAAAATTTGTCGTATACCACTTTCGTCAGGTCTTCCTGTGTTTTCCTGTCTTGCTCATGCAGGCCGAAAATAACAAGATTATTGTGGCGCGATTTTCAATGTCATCAACCTTTCTAGATAACAGTTCGACTACTTCGTTCAGTCGGGTTGCTGTTTGTTGTGCGTCATCCAGTTTAGACAGAGAGGACTGAAGTTTAGCTAGGCGGTCTTCAATATTTTTTTATGGCAGTACCATTTTCTTTTACTTCTTTTTAGACTGTTCTTTGATCACGTTTAATGTCAGCTAATGTTTTTGACGGCTCCTTCAAAGTATGCAAAATCTGCTCAAGTTTGTAATTTGAGATTGAGCGCGGGCCTGGATTCAACTCGACGTCACCACTTGTGACAAGCTTAAGAAATATAGACCGAAAATCGCACACTGTCAACGCCAGTGTTCGGGGGCACGGCACGACTATTAGTGACAAATGATTGCTTTTAAATGATGGAGTATTGTACCTCACCTACAAACAAGCAAATACGAACACGTTGGACAGCATGCTTGTATTCGTGCTGAGCCCGCAACTGAGTAGGTAGGCGTCCGGTGGGCTAGTTAAGCTGGCAGCAGTCCATAGCGTGGTTGTCTTCGATTGGTAGATGCTTCCGATACAAGCATTTTTGCTGCACGTCGATAGAAACAGCATCGGTGACAGATCCAGATAGCTTGAGAACGGTGGCTCGTGCACCGTCTTGGTCAATGCGGTAGTTGCACTTGAATTTGAAGAGGTGACAAGAAGCAGAACCTGCAAACAAGCAAATACGAACACGTTGGACACCATACTTGTATTCGTGCCGTGCCCGCAATACTCGTATCCAAACACTTGAACACTATATAACACCTCCGATGTCGTCCATTCCATTTGTGCTTGTTAAAACTATTCCTCAGAAACACAGTCTGCAGAGCTTGTTTATACTAAACATCTACAGCTACCCTAAATTTAGGAGAGATTACTTCGAGTACCTTATAGCGGAAACGTGCAAGCTAGGAGAACAAGTTGTAGTTGGTGGTTTTAACGTCCCACACACGTCATGGAGATACCTATCAGCCACACGTAAAGGTACCACGTTAGAATGTCTCATCTGCAATCACATATTTACAATGCTCACCGATCCACAAGAGCCAACCAGTATAGGAACCAGCGCTAACAGAGATACGTGTCCTGACCTAATTTTTGTAAAAGGATTAAGCAATTATAACTGGTCAAATCTTCATGAGTTGTTAGGTAGTGATCATAGCATCATTTCTACTACACTGCACGTCTCCGACCACCGAGCTCCAGAGCGGAAGGTCTGCCTCGCTAAATAGGATACATTTAGAAAACAACGCGCTCAGACTGACAACACTGTGACACCTTTAAGTGAATGGGTAGAGTGCCTGCAAGCGGACCTTAGCAAAGCAACCAAGAAGATAAGCCCTACAACCGTAGTTGGAGATGTAGACAGGCACTTTATACACCTGTGGAAAGCACGCAGAAGCCTTATAAAACACTGATGTAGGCATAAACACAATGGCAGGCTCAGACTCCGCATTGCAAGCCCAACATTGTGCAACAGAGCTCACGAAGAACAAATGGCACTGCTTTTGTAAGTCACTTTTGTAAGATTTGTTTTTATATTCAGCTTATTTCTATTCTTTCGTATTTCTTCAAAAAGTGCAACCGTATTAACATTTCTTAAAATTTTATGTATACAGTATTTCTTAATGGCGCCACTTTAAACTATGTATTTGTGTCTGTTTAGTTGTTTCCAGGACTTTATGAATGCTGTCAGTTTTCCTGCCTTGTATTCATGGAATGTGGGGCTAGTCAAGCTGCGTTTTTATCGCTGCTTTTTCCCGCATTCCACACCACACTTTGTATGGTGTAACACTGTGGTGAAATAAACTTCAAACTTCAAACTTCAAACTTCAAATTTACTAAAACGCGAAGCACTGCGCGCACGTGAGCCATGCTAAGAGCCCTTGATGACCCAAAAAGTACCACGTTTTACACGAGCAGTACCATACAAGCACTTCTTCACAAGCAGGATGGGGACGACAACAGCATCTTACGGACGATTCAAGAAAAGTACATCGCCACAGTCCCTCAGCCAAAATATTAAAACTACCCATATACTGAGTCAACACCGCTGGATACTGATATCCATGTGCACGAAGTTCAAGCTGCCCTTCTTATTATCAAGCGCAACAGAGCACCAGTGAAAGACATCTAATACTCTCTCAAAAACAAAATTCAACCATGAATATCCGGCGCAGGTCACAGATTTTTACAACACTCATTGTAAATCTGGAACGTTACCGCAGAAATGGGGACATGCCCAGATTGCAGTTATTCCTTAGTCCGGCAAACCCATAGAGCTTGAAAACCTGCGACATATCTTGTTGACATCATGCTTTGGTAAATTGATGGAGCGTCGTCCTCCAAAGACTGCAACCATATCTTGAGGCCCAAGGATTTTTTCGGGACACACTGTTTGGGTGCCAGGCCCATCCTTCCATGCAAGACGTACTCCTTCAACTAAAAGAGGAAGCAGTGGACACACTCAATTTTATGCAAACTAGGGCTCTGCTTGCCTTGGACATCCGCGGTGCGATTGCCAACGTCTCGCCGGACCTAATACTGCAGAATCTCGTGTCGACAAGTTGCGCACGACGAGTATTCCTAACAACCATGATGGCAAACATATGATTAGGTTCTCGTCGCAGGGACACAATCAAGCTCACGGGGTAAAGGCACGCCACAAGGACCGCTGTTAACCCCGACATTCTTCAACATCGCCAAGGCTAAGTTACCGTCTCTACTCGGCACCATTCCAAGTCTGCGACATGCTTTATACAAGTACGACGTCACTATTGGTGACCTAAAGGCTCAGACGGACAAGTACGAGATGCCCTCCAGGCAGCTGTAAATACAGTTCAAGTATATACACGAGCAGCTGGTCTGACGTGCTCTACAGATAAGTCGGAACTTCTACTCATTCGTCGTCCCAAGCGAAAGCCTGACAACAGCCTGCAAATCAGTCACCTTAGAGGATCATGTAATTCCCTGCGTACAAAAACTATCCGTCCTTTGCCTTTATATACAAGCTAAACTCAAGGCAACGCACACCATAAAAACATTGGAAGAGCAAGTTCCTCAAATTACGCATATGATCCGCCTACATCACCAACCCGAGGCATGGACTCCAGCAGCCACACATTCGACGTATAGTTAATGCCTGCATAGCAAGCTGCATCACTTACCACATCCCTTATCATACCCTAATGTTTGCACAAGAGAGCAGACTGAACATCCTCCTCCATAGAGTCACCAAGGCGGCGCTTGAACTACCTACGTACGCATCAGCCGACCGTCTTCTAGCTATGGGAGTACACAACAACCTAAGTGAACTAACTTAAGCACAACGTATTAGTCAGCTACGATGACTCCGCAGCACACAAGTGGGAGAGCGGTTACTCGTCAGGCTAGGGTATAGTTCTAATTGATGTGGACTAACCGAAGCACAACGTAATAGTCAGCTACGATGACTTCACACCACAGAAGTGGGAGACTGGCTACTCGTCAGGCTAGGGTATCTTTCAAATTGTGTGGACACAACACACCAGAGAAACAGCTACCCAGTGACGTCCGAGCAAGAACTGCAGTCTCATCCACTTCCACGCAATATGCACCCTGAGCGCAGCACCCAGCGCCGGCGGTAAAGGGTCAAAAACCTCACGCGCCCCATCAATCAGTCTCCTCCAAACACTCCCTTACACTGCGACGCCTGTACACATCACTCCCGCCATTTTACAGTTGGAGAAGTGGTGAACAGTGATCCCGATGTAGTTGCCTCAATCAGCGTACCTACAAACAACGTCTCTGAGGGCGAAAAGTGTGCCATATCGCTCTGAGGATTTCCCACGCTGCCATAAACCTTCGTTATACAGATGTTATTCTAATCTTTACAGATTCAATGGACACCTGCCATTCCTTCACACGGGGTATTGTCTCACAGCATACGCACCGAATTTTCAACACTGATTTCCCCACGCCACACAAGTTCCGACTTGTCTGAACCCCTGGGCACGCCTCCCCGGTCAGGACTGCGCTCATGCAACTGCCCGGGCACTCACTATCCGGGATCCGGAGGAAGAGCTGTCCAACCTAGATGAGGAGGACACAAACATGGAACTTCTAGAATATTGAGACACACTCGACTACTACAGACGCGAGCGCATTCAGTACCCTCCCCCACACCACACGCTTCCCCGAGAGGATGCAACTGCGGCGCGTCAGCTGCAAGGAAAAACACTTCCGAACCTCTGTTTCCTTCACATCCTCCATCCCTTTTCTTACCCTGCCAAATGCCCTGGCTGTCGAGCGGCATTGACGTTACTTCACGTAACGCTGGAATGTCCGAGTCCGCCTGCCAGGTGCTCTGCCAACTCCTCT